TAGCAATGTATATAGACCATCTAGGGAAGATTATATTTTTCTCAACAAAACTGGGAGGTAGAAAAGATTGGCTGCTGTGGTTTATGGTTCTTTTCTGATTCCCATGTTAAAAAAAATAGTACATTGTTATCCCAGTATCAGGGAACCTTTTTTATGTAACATCATTCTGTCACAGCATTTCCAACTTCCCTTTCCCCCGTGCTTACTTCAACTTTATTTTGGCTTGTTCATCTTTTTCACTTAACCATTCCATAAGGGCTTGGTCACACAACATCTAGTGAGCTGCACACCACAAGACACTGGTCCTGATGTCTGCTCTCAGAGTGACTCCTTTGGAGCCACCCATACATGCGCGCTCCTGGCTGGTGCTATGGACACGTCTTCTTGGGTCCATAGAAAGAGGCCGCTCTGGCAAGAAGCCATTCCCTTTTCCCCACTCCTCCCTGTGAGAGATTGGCAGCAGTTGGAGCCTGTGCAGTCCTTAGGCTGGGTTCACACCTAGGCGTACAGAATATGCGCGTTGCCGCGCGTTTCGTGCCGCACGTTTTTACCGCGATTTGCGGTAAAAAACGTGTGACAAACGCGCGTTTCCGAAGGCTATCCGGCTGTATCCTAATGCGCCCCAAAGAAGCTCCTGTACTTCTTTGGGAGTTTTGCAGCGCGTTCCTATGTGCTGTAAAACGCCCCCGGGTGGGAACCATGCCCATAGGCAATCATTGGTTTTCACATGTTGAGCGTTTTACAGCACGTAGGAACGCGCTGTAAAACGCCCAGGTGTGAACCAGGCCTTGCCGTGCATGTGAAGCACTATGGGCACGCGCTCCGCTATCTGGAAGTTTGAGGAAGCACCACTGAGGACTTGTGGCTGGCAATGGTGAACAACAGGGTATGTCGTTTTTTGGCGCGCACACACAGAGCAAAAACAGTACCATGCCACGTTTTATTAATTGCCTGGAATGCATTTGTCTAAAAAACGCTGTGTTTAATAATACTTTCAGATATTCTTGACAAACGATTGCTCTTTATGTATATTCTCCTTACATGCGAGGCTGTACTTTGTATTTTGTTATTGCCGGCTGTTACAGATAAACCAATAAAATCTGACTGAACATAAAATGTACATTATTACCACAGCGATGTAAATACCTTCTATAATTACAATCATGGAATAAATGTCAGTTAAAGTACCGCAGCGCTGAATACTGAAAAATGGCCTGGATGGGAAGGGGGTTTAACACCGCGGATGTCAACTGGTTAAAGTAGAATTACAATCTCTCTTATTTTGGCATGATTTAAAGAAAAAACTGAAAAGTAGGCATATACCCAATTACTTACCTGTTCCAGCGCTGAAGAACTTCCGGCTCCCGAACAGCTGTGAAGTAGGAAGTGTGCAGGCGCAGTAGATAACACCGGAGGTGAAAGGACAAAAGAGACAACTAAAGCGAATGGACGCAGCCGAAGGCGAGCGCACCGGACAGACTCTGTGGGACACAGAAAGACAGATGTCTGCGCTGGATCAGAGACTGGAATCTGTGCTGGAGGGACTGTCTGAAACGAGTGGAAGGAAGGTGATCGCAGCAAGAGCCATTAATTAAGGTAAGTGCTTACAGCAGCATTGGGGAGAAAAAAAAACATAGCCTTTAAAGCGGAATTTTACACTCAAAAAAAAAAAATCACACATTCTACCAATGCGTCCCTCTATATATGATGATTAATAATAACAGACATGTCAGGTATAAAATGCTGTGATTTTGCAGCGAATTCACTTCCTGCTTTGAAAGTGCAAAATGAGCAAAGCAATGCACACTGGGATTGCCTTGTCATCAGCAGAGCATTGCTGGGAAATCTCATCTCAGGGAAAGGCAATTTCCTCCCCTGAGATGATGTGCATAGTCACATGTGCCAGAGTTTCAGGATATAAAAGGAGAGCTCGTAATCTGCCCTTAGTAAACATGGCCACTGTCGGAGAGAAATAAAGTGTGTAAAGAATACAAAGCCGGCAATTATCTAGAAGTATGTGTTTGTAGATAGATGTCATTACTAAACATTTCTAAAGGTGTGTCTGTTGTTATTTTAAAGATATGAGTGAAGCTCTGCGTAAATGTCACTGTAAATACTTCCAAAACAGAAATCATCACAACTAACATTTAGGACTTCTAAAATGATGCCAAACACAGCCTGACATGGATAAACACCTCTGATGGACAATGGCCAGAAGATGCAGCAAAACAGTGTAATGGCCGGTATACAACCCACACGCTTAGGTTTTTGACATGTGTTGCGTTTGACATTTATTCTTGTGCGTTTTCCTATAAAGGAAAGGGGGGGTAGGTCAGCAAAAGAGACACATTTTTTTTTTTTTTAAGGGGTCACATTTACATGTGTTGTGAGAAGATGCTGCATACTTTACTTTTTTTTAGATGAACTGCAGCACACCGCAAAAGGTGTAAACTAGACTCATTACTTTTTCCATGCATTCAGAGTGCATTTAAAAACCCGCATATTAGGGCTGCAGCTAACTATTATTTTCTAAATCTATTAGTTTGCTGATTAATCAGGTTGAAAAAGGACACATGTCCATTGCGTTCAAATGTATTAATAGATTAATAAAATAAAATAAATTAGAGAAAAAAAGGGCTCCAGTGATGGACTACAAGTTTGTATTGAGATTGTAGTCCATCACGGGAGCAAGCTGGGAGCGGTGACTACAGGAAAGATAGGAAGGACAGTGTCAGCTATAGAGGACTACAACAAATCCCAGCAATAGTACATTATACAGAGCAATGCAGAATACCACCAGCTATAGAGGACTACAAAACCCAGCAATACATTATACAGTGCAATGCAGAATACCACCAGCTATAGAGTACAAATCCCAGCAATAGTACATTGTACAGCACAATGCAGAATACCGCCAGCTATAGAGGACTACAAATCCCAGCAATAGTACATTATACAGCGCAATGCAGAATACCACCAGCTATAGAGGACTACATATCCCAGCAATAGTACATTATACAGCGCAATGCAGAATACCACCAGCTATAGAGTACAAATCCCAGCAATAGTACATTATACAGCGCAATGCAGAATACCGCCAGCTATAGAGGACTACAAATCCCAGCAATAGTACATTATACAGCGCAATGCAGAATACCACCAGCTATAGAGTACAAATCCCAGCAATAGTACATTATACAGCGCAATGCAGAATACCACCAGCTATGGAGGACTACAAATCCCAGCAATACATTATACAGCGCAATGCAGAATACCACCAGCTATGGAGGACTACAAATCCCAGCAATACATTATACAGCGCAATGCAGAATACCACCAGCTATGGAGGACTACAAATCCCAGCAATACATTATACAGCGCAATGCAGAATACCACCAGCTATGGAGGACTACAAATCCCAGCAATACATTATACAGCGCAATGCAGAATACCACCAGCTATGGAGGACTACAAATCCCAGCAATACATTATACAGCGCAATGCAGAATAACGCCATCTATAGAGGAATACAACAAATCCCAGAAATAATACATTATATACAGTGCAATGCAGAATACCACCAGGTATAGAGGACTACAAATCCCAGCGATAATACATTATACAAACAGTGAAAAACAATCAAAGTAAAGTGCAGGTATCGGCGTAGTTTAAATCTTTTTGACATATGATCTGTTCACACAAGTGTTGTCCAATTTGCATATAGAATGGCGGGAAGATGACGTAATTTGGGCATCTGAAGGGGAGTTCGCTTTACTTTGATTGGTGTTTGGTTTTCACTGTTCGGTATATATTTGCACTTGTTTGTATTTGCGTTTCATTATCTGTTTTGCCTGAGGAAGGACTTTGCTGTTCTGAAACGTCACACTGATGATGCGACACCTACGAAGTCAAGAAACATTGACTTTTCTACATGCTGGAGTGCTCGTAACCTTTTTTGTATTTTTTGAGTGTCAGTAACACGCCCAATCAGCTGCAGCCGATGTTCTATCAAAGATTGTGACTGAGTTAGAATGTGTGACCGCTCACGTGGTCACACATTTTAGCAGAATCACGCCCATTTTTTTCGGGGTTAAAATATGTCACCGGCAAAAGGTGTAGAATTCAAAGGTTTGTCAGCTGTTCCAGGGCAGATTGGCATCGCAGATGGTATGTGCAGGAGAACCGATCTGCCCTGAAACAGCTGATCGGTCCAGAAATGTCACTTCCATCTGACTTTATGAGTGTGAGCTGACATTTCACAAAGTCGGATAGAAGTGAGATTTCAGGACCTTTTGTCGGTCACATATTTTAACCCCGGAAAAATGGGAGTGATTACGTTAAAATGTGTGACCACATCACCGGTCACACATTCTAATGCAGTCACAAACCTTGCTAGAACACTGGGGTTTTCCTACATAACAAAGGGGCATGGAACGCCCTGGCCGCAGCTAATTGGGTCGGGAAGGGAGTGGGTCAGTGACAGTCTGTGCAGGCTCAGGTACACTTCTAGTGCTGACAGGACCACCCACAGCTCCCATGTCAGCTTCTCAGGAACTGGATGAAATCTAAACCACGTATGAAGACAGGATAAAGATAATGTAATTTCTGATAAAACAATGACTTCCCATAGAACAGTGATACCACCTCACACATCACCAGCTGCACCCTAAAGGTTCACAGTGCCAGTCCTCATAGTCCTCCATATCCAGGAGCCACAGGTTGTCCAATCAACATGACATCACACTCCTAGATTAGTAAACAGCAGATAATGAGAGCAATGATCAGCCTGCTACGATGCAGCTCCTGACATGCTGAGCCCCACTCTTCACTCTCCCATCTTCGGCCTGCCATGTCACTTTGACACCCGGCTCATATCATCACCCGCACCGCGACCAACACAACTCTGTTCAGGGTGGCCGAGCAAAGAACACAGGCCAACACTGCCAACAGAAACATGACTTCCCGCCCACAACTCCAACCGACACTGTCCCCACCCTCACCTCCTCCTCCGGTACACCGAACACCTCCATGGAGGAGGCCATGCTCCGTGGCCCGCACACCGGCCGAGTGATGTCTAATAGTCCAGAGTTTCCGCTCACAACTCGCTCAGTGCTCGTCCCCGAGCCACAGCCAGCCCGAGTCACGCGCCATCCCCGGCGTGCGCGCGCTTCTGCTAGACGTCTTGTGTCATCCCCGGGCGCGGAGCGGGTGTGTGGTGGTGGGCGCTGCTGCCTACTCATGGCCCGGGCGATGGAGGTCGCCTGGCAATGATCTGTACAAATAACAATAAAGATTTGATTTTCATATATGTGGTTGAATAGATTTTGCCCTTACACCATTCATATCCCATAAGTGTAAAGGCGTAGTCCATCTTGTGCAAAAAAGCCCCCTGAACACAACAGGAGGTATAATTTTTTTTCAGCAAAGTGATGCAACATGTGCATATTGCGAAGCGTGGTGACCATTTGCAAATCCCTCTGGTGTGGATAGGCATTAGTGATGAGCAGGGTTATTTGGG